TGCCGATCACAACACAGAAGTGTGGCGTCATCACAGATTAGTATAGGAGTTCTCCACTAACTATGCAAAATGTGCCCCACAAGACCAAACCAGGAATAAATTCGAGGCACCTTTTGGTGACCCATATTCTGCATTGTTAGTTGACGAGTTCATGCTGAGCCGGGAAAAGTACATTCTTACCAAATCATAATGTAGGTACCTTGTAAATTGATTCAAAAATTATCACTATATTTAGCATTGAGCAGGATTAAAATTATATCTTCTATGGTATTTTATGACAAAATGTTAAATGTAACATCACCTGTTTCCCTTTAATACTGTTGTAATGCAATAGAGCTTATCTTGTGCAGTGTGTAAATTATTTTTACCCAAATACATTTTACTAGCGTTCAAATTGAAACTTAATTGAGCGGAGCAAAGCGAAGCGACCTAAACTCTTATACTTCACTCCTGCTTTTGTTTTACAAATACTCCTCCTGAACGGCTGAAGCGATCTGCGCGAAATTTAGCACAGTGATAGAACAGTGATAGTAACCAACCATGGAAAGGTATGGATCTGAAATTGTACAAATCGGACCAAATAACGTTTACCTACATGAATTTAAGCTTTTAGAAATTTAACAGGTGGGTTAATTGGTCACCATGACATTATTTGCGAGATAACAATAAAAAGGTAAACAAGAGTCGCAACATATGTTAGTCAACGAATAGCACATTACAAATTCCGTACACGGAAAAAGGAAAGATCAATCGGATCAATAGCGTTGAGCATAATTTACTACAAAATAAATAACCAATAATTAGGTTCGCTGGAATAGGCTGACGCACCATTGAAGTATATATCTCATTTACGAAAAACAAATGTAGCACTGACTTTAGAAAAGTATTTGATTAATATGCTAGCTCCGCTCAATATTGCAAGCAGACAACTGCATTGTACACCTAGTAAAAAAATTAATAACATTTCTAAGATGAACTCTAAAAAAATCACAATCCTCTATTGCCAAAACATTGAGTGCATACCGTATTATTTGTGCGGTGTTCCTTCTCACAAATAGATATTGTATTTACCCGTGTTAGTTTCTGCCAAATACTGTATTTTATTTGTGAGAGACAGACTTTATTTATGCTGTACATAGCTGTCTATATTAAAGATTTGCCATAGAATTGATAGTACTTTACTGTACTTGGAATTGTCTTACGATAGGAAATTACAACTGTTCTTTCCGATAGTAAATTTGAAAAGAGCGGCGATAATTCTAAGTGTCGCTAGTTGTTACGTTGATGGCGTAGTTCTATTTAATGGTGTTCCCACTACAGCTGTTCATTATCCTGTTGCACAACTCAGCGAAGGTGTTGAATATCATTACAGCTAATATCAAGACGCTGCACGCTGCACGCTACACGCTGCACGCTACACGCTGCACGCTGCACGCTACACGCTGCACGCTGCACGCTACACGCTGCACGCTGCACGCTACACGCTGCACGCTACACGCTACACGCTGCACGCTACACGCTGCACGCTGCACGCTACACGCTGCACGCTGCACGCTACACGCTGCACGCTACACGCTGCACGCTGCACGCTGCACGTGTAACTCTGACAACTTAGTGTGATGGCCGCAGAACGTGTTATGTTGGTTGTATCACGTCATCTGCTGACGACTGGCGAGATAGCATATACATATGCTACTCTGACTATAAACGCATATCATTAAAAAAAGTAGTAAGCAGCTTATTGTTTTCTATTATTTTATTAAGATAAGTCTGTTTGGACTAGCTTTTATCATTAAAACCATGTTGATAAATTTAAAAGTGTACAATTTACAACAATTCAATTTATAACATTTGTTTACATGCACACGTCAGCTCAACAATTGTTTGGATAGCCGAGTGTGGTAGTGTGCTCGCCATTAAATCTAAAGGTTGCTGATTCAATCCCAAGTGGGCTTGATTATGGAACAGACGCCACTTGTCATGGGCTTACATAAGGACACCAGGATTTGAAATCCAATCAAAACTTTATATCGTTAACATGCCCAAATATACGCCAAACCAAGACCCACTTCAAAGCTCAATATAATCTAAACTGTCATTTCGAACTACAATGGGTGTTTTAAAGTCTTTATAAACCAAGACAGACTTTAATTAAATTAGCACAAGATATTTAGTCAAAGTGGAGCAGACAATGAGATAAATTAAAAGACTGTGGGTGGAGGGGGAGGGGAGTCAGTAATGAGGACGAGGTGTTAGAATAATGGTGGCGGTGCTGCTGCCAGATGACCAGCCTTGGAACTAACTACAGTATACCCAGAATACAACGATACAACGTACTGTAGTGTGCTGTGCTTGTAACAATACACACTGAGAACTAGTCAAGGCAGTGCGTATATGTTAAATTCAATGTCTATTTTATCACTTAAACTGTGAAACACCTTTTAATTCATTGGCAATAGAAACAAATTGATCGAACTAAAACATATTAGTAAAAGTAGGTAACGTATATCTTATTAGAATGTCATTGTTTTAAAAACAAATCTGAACTCAATCTATGAACCTCTCAATATTTCAAATTGCGTTAGTCAAATTGACTAATAGATATCGCTGCAATGTTGTAATTTTTCAAGCAATTCTTTATAACATAACCTTCAGAGACTAAATTGTTACTCAAACAAATTAATCAACTATAAAGTCTTCAATTGAATTTTATGTTTTCCGTGTTGTAAACATATTTTTTTCAAAATACACTACTTCGTTGAAATCTAACACAACGTTTAAGCAGCTAATTGTAAGCTACAGGATACAGGAGTATAAACTACTTATTTACAGTTTTGCCTCATCTTGAAAATCATTAGTATCCAAACGTCAATGAAATTATCCAATCAAGGTTTTCTAGCAATGTAATAACAATAAATAGAAGGGGAGTCTCTTGCACCTCGTCGGGAACTACGAGTGAGTTATCCTATACAACTTAATAAAAAGCGAGGCAGATGTATGTGTGTGTCTTTTTTCAATACCTATATCTAAAAACTCCGTATGTAATTACGTTAACTTATAAAGCGTAATGGAGTGCCATACTACTTATTAATCCTATTATTGATGTGCATTATAAAACTTTATAAGTACACAAACAATATACACCTATAGTGTGAAATAATACAAAATAAGGTGTCGCCACAACGATTTAATTTATGCATTGATGTTCACGACGGAAATGTGAATAAATAATAGTTTAAATCCTGAAGGGCTAATATTCATACAATTGTAAGACAATTAATTTCTTATAAACGTTTTGACACTTTGATTTACATGCATTCTGCGGTACAACTGAAAGTATTTGCACGTATTTATGAGTAATTATATCATCAAGGTTTCTCATAGTTAAATACATTGCAGACGTATTTAAAGTTGTTAGTTTATGCATTGCAGACGAGGGCCAATAAAGCAATATTGGAAACATAAGAGCAATGGCCAAAGGATCACTAACAGCTGGGTCAGTTATAACCCCCATTTAAAGAGATGTGCACGACAATAAGTCACGTTCCCAGATTGGTCTGACAGCTCAAGACTCACACTTGTCAACACAGCATAAATTTCAATATATGCTATGGACGAGAATGGAGGTGGGCGGTTTTCTAGAACGTAGCCCAGCTCAAAGTTTGCACAGTCCAATGCTTATTCTAGATTACTTAATCGGTTATTGCAATAAACTATGTACATGACCAAATTTTCAGGAACCCAGAAAAGGAGTTTACTTATAACGTTCAATTCACCTTATCAGTTTATCAGTTATGTTTATTTTTCATTTTAGAATTGAACTATTAGGACGAGCGATTTACTTGCATTTAGCAATAAGGGATAAAAAGAAACTCCTTTAAGGACACAACAACCTAGAAAGATTTTCAAAACAGGTGGTTATAGGCAATCTTTGATTTTTATCATGGCCTCCATTAATACAATACTTTTTGTCAAGACCAAGCCACGATTTAATTGAATAATTAATCAATTTTGCAATGATAGTACACAGGTATTCAGCATGAATCTGGTTGAATCTAATCAGCGTCTCTTCGATTATGAAATTTCTAACTCCACGGGACACTTGTCAATACGTTATCCATAACAGTTCCATATACTATTTGTGTCGAAGTCATAAAAAACAAACGCCAATGACTCATTTTAACGAACAGAGTTTGAGTTGTCTCATAGCATTCATTGGGAAAAAACCAAAGGACATTTTAACTCGGTCTCCTTTCCTTGCCAAGTGAGTAAGAGCGCATGTGTGTATGTGTTTTGAACAGTGTATGTGTTTGTGTGTATGTGTTTTGGGCAGTGTATGTGGTGATTGTTTGGTTTGGCTTCTTGCATTACTGACTGACGTTACATGGTCTGAGTCATGTCTAGACTCGACATACATTACAATGTTATAATGGACAAAATCTGCCATTGGTTGAAAGACATTAGCAATAAATATAAATAGGTGTAGTCGCATCCACTAACTATGTAAAATATAAATATGTTAATTTGAAATTCGTATTGTTCAAAGTAATGAATTTCAGTAGACTAGTTGTCACACGTAGGGATGTAACCTTTTACCAGGTGAACACAGCGGCTTCTTTGCTACCAGAGCAAGTCCAATAGATTTCACTTGATAAGCCCGTATATACGATATACTTTGTACTCTATGCTCTGTTCTGATCTCGCTATCTCAACCGCTCAATTTGTTATGTACCATGTTGAGGCTCCAATCCGCGAAAATAACGAATTCGAAAAGAGTATCCCACAAAGTGGGTATTTGTAATAAATATTAGCACTCGATAAAACAATGAATGTTATCATTTATATTTTGTCAAGAGAGGATTCCAATTTCAATTCCTACGTGTATAAGGACCCCCCTACGTCTGCAGAGAGCAAATACCCTAATGTTCTTTGGTATTTTCTCAATGTAGCCTATATTTGTGATTTTCAATATGCACTCCGTTATCCAAGCACCAACTCACCTCCAAGGTGCGTCCGAACTCATCGTGTCGTGTTTCCACCACTGTTCCGTACCGAATATTCACAAGATGGCTCACTGCACTGTCACGTTACATGAAACTGAAAGTGTTAGTAAAAAGTTAAGTTTTTAGGGACGTGGGTTATCCCACGGGACTACAGCTACTGAGCGGACGGGAGTCGGGACCACCCCACCCTTCTCCCACTGGAGTTGGCGTTGTAGCTCGCGATATAAATACGTTGTCCAGGCGAGTCTGGCAGACGACACTAGCAGAATCGCCACTATTGTTGCTAAACAAACACCAACCATCGGCCACCAGTGACAGATATCCTTCAGCGGATCATTACTGCGTAGATTAGGTGAGGAAGCCATCGACGGTGAGCGCCATCAAGTTCCTTGATCAGTTTAGTTGGAGCGACTCGTGTCTAGACTGGAGCACACACGAATGTCTTGCGAAGTATATTCTTAGGCAAGTAGTGAATGCTGACCTTACAACAACAAAAATCAAATCGTAATACCGACTGTCAAATGGAATGTATTTTTTCGATGCAGGAAAAGTAAGTAAACTACGGAGTATGACCTTCCGCAAGAGTCTGTGCTCAACCCTTTGCCATTTAAAGTGCAAGACCCACTCGTACTTGAGGCTTATACACACCAGTTATATTACTCATGCTTTACAATAGACTGAGATTGCACTTACTTAAGACCCCAAAGAATACTTGTGAATCTGGAAGCTAAATTCCATTTGAGGGAAAACTAAAGTTTCTCTTTGCCCTGTGTACTCATGGTCTCTTTTGTGTATAACTCATGGTCAAAAGCTCTTGCAAGTTCTTTATAAAGAGATAAAACACAAATACTGAGCACTGCGTCTCTATCTACTAGTGTGATTGGCTTCGACAACTAGAGAATGTAACCCTAAAACCATAAAATATTACTCAATGTGGTTAATAAAACTGTTCATTTTGTATAGTACTTATTTACTTCCCTTGAGTTTCATCACGGTCGTTTGGTAAAGGACATCATTGGATTGCATATAATAGATAACAACAACCAAAGCAAACAAAGATAATTTTTAACACAAAGATATGGTGTACTGGGATCTCATCTTGACAAATAAATAATTTGATTCCTAGTTTGTTTAAATATTACAAATAGGTTTCTTGCATTTGAGCTTTTGAGGGACTGACATCCCTATATGCCACTAGTAATGTTTATTTTCGGGTCAGCAACGTCATTTGTTTATGTTTATGCTCCATACCGGTTCTGTTAAAGTATTCGTGGTTTACTCTCCTGCTGTAACTGCCCCCGCGAGACTTAATAGTGTTCATGACGCATAACTAAGTAGCACAATGAAATAAAAAAGTGGTACCTCAAGTATGTACTAACACCATATTGAATGACAACCTCTATCTCTAAAATCACGGTTCTCTTCCAATATAGATCCATCAAAGACCAGGCACCAAGGGGGTTTGCTGTATTAGTATGATAATATATGAATATACGCTTCTCAGATACGTATCAAATATTCAAAGACAAATAGTTAGTCCAGTCACTCCAGTCTCACTCTTAAGTTAATCTCACTCTTTCGTCTCAAGAAGTTTCTTTCCAGGGGCAGCATAATCTGGATAGCTAGATCGATTTCAGGAGAAGAACGACACCTTTTACGTCCATTGGACTGGTGAATTTGTCTCAGCGTTTTCGCACTGAGATTAGTAGATATCTGTCAAATGTGTGTTTTACAAGCTGTGCTGTGGGGTTGCTAACTGTATCAGGGACATTCAGTGATTGCTTTTGCAAGATCTTCCTGGAAGTTTGGCCAGCCTGCATGGCCTGAGAAAGCTTTTAGGCTGCAATTTTGCTATTTGCTTTCACCATACATTTTTGCACTGTAAAAGAAGATCTTCCATTTCCAAGTCACTTATGCTTTTCTTGGCATATTTGGTCCCACATGGTCTGCAATCAGGATATATTCACAGTAAAGAAATTTCCCTTTCGATAAAACACATTTTTAACCACACTACGACATTTTTGTCATTTCAAGACCTTAAAGTGATTTACATCGAGGTCAGACTATAAGTCTCAGTTAGATTTAGTTATTTAACCAGCTTTATGTGGAAGTCATAAAAAATTTAAGTCAAATATTAAATATAAAATATTTAAGTGTTGGATAAATTATGCAACAATATCTTGGACCTTCAAGCCTAGATTGTAAACATAAGATCACGTTAAACTGAGACTGGTACACTTATGTTGTAAACCCTTTAAGCCTTTCTGTTTTCAATAGCAAAAACACTTTGTTTTTCAATCGTGCCTAATTGTTTTGTTTATATTAAGAATTGTAAATATACTTCTATAATCTATACTATATAAAAATGAGATTGTGTGTGTGCGTGTTTGTCTGCCTGTTACCTAATAACGCAAGAACCACTGAACCAATTTAAATACAATTTTGAATGAAGGTAGCTTTTATACCAGTTTAACATATAGGCCTATTGCTGTTATTATAATTCCCTTGGGCTATGTCCCATGGGATTCCAAAGTTTCAATGTTTACATTTTGGAAGAATGTAAAATAGTAAAAATTATTAATTGAAGGTAGCTGTAAATACTATAATTTGACAGTTCAAACAGCAGAGGTTAAGAGATACAGCTCCTGCTCCCAAGATTCTAAAGTTTTATGATTATGAGAATAGTTTGTTTGATTAATATAAAATTTATGAAAATATACTTATTTTCATGGAAACAGAAGGATCATTACAATGTATAATATTTTCGAATAACTTTGATATGGTAGCTTTAGCTTTATGTTTACAAATTTGAACTGATAAACAAATGTTTGGATCGGGATTTTAATAGATTTTAAAAACTAAGAAATATGTACTGGTGCAGTTTTAAAATTTTACTGACTCAATGTTTAACTTTTATTGGTGTTTTAATTCAATTTACAAACAAAATTTCAACTATACCTACTTTTATTCTATCCAGAGGTAGCTACCGGTACTTATTATATTTTCTTCTATCATCTACTTCACATTCGCTTTTTTTAATTTACAGAAATCTCCTTAGTAGTTGTATATTCCGTATACAACACTGTTTTAATTTGACAATGGAGAATATCCCAAAACTAAGATGCGAGCAATTCACTTTTGTATCCAAAATCTGTAACGTAACTATGTTTCTTTACTTGATGTTTTAAATAATGATGTAATTTAATGCAAATACATACACGTTTTGAACTATGGAACGAGTTAAAATAATTACTGTTATGTATTTCGTTGTTGCTTTATATTTAAATTGGTGAAATTTGTACCCTGATAAACAATAATAGTGGTAGGTTTTCTAACAAAAGGTAATACAAGTTTTCCATTAGTTTATTTTTGCTTATTATTGTGATATATACACACTGATCTGCAGGTAAAGATTGAACTTTGAAAAAAGCTCATTAGCTACGGTAAAACATATCAATTATATGTGAAATCAATATAAACTGTTTTATTTTTTTGCTTTACTACAGTGCTTTATGTTGTGCGATTATTTTTCCTTATTTACTTTATATTTACGTTTATGAACGAAATAAATGTTTAAGAAAGCTTATCATTTGAAAATTGAATCGTATGGGTACATTATTTCCATAAATGCATCAGCGCCTCATATAATTCGTACTAGGTAGCCTTATAAGTTAGCATAGCCTCAAAGAAAGATATTTGTCAAACTAATAGTTTCAATTGAATTGTGTTCCTGAAACCAAAGGGGAATGTGAAACTATTTTATATACAACAGAATATAAGATCAATTTTTTTCGCTTCAGCGTCCTTTCCGTTGCGAAGCACGGGTACAACAGCTAGTCGTTTATAAAACCCGCTTTCATGGCTACATCTTATTTCGCATCCCCACTTCTCTCTAAATCGACATGTGATCATTATTTTAGGCCAGTAAATAATAATAATAATAATAATAAATAATCGCTAAATCACATTTTAAATTGCCAAAAACATTTATAGATGAATGAAATGCCTACTTCTATCTATATCTCAAGTAGATAAATTTGATTCCGTTAATGCCATATTTGTGTAAGTAATTTGTCCATTAATTTTGTAAGGTATTATTAAAGGTTGCCGATTTTTCAGTCGCAAAGTAAATTCGGTATTATTATTAATATTATTATTGACCGTGTTGCTCAAATAACATGTAACCTAAAACATTAGATTTATGATCGAGTTCTGGGTCGATAAAAAAGGCCTTTAAAGGCTGATAAAACAACACTGTAATTGGTATTTAAAGAAACCTAATCCTGTCAATTCAACTAACTAGGCCTATTTATGATTCTCGTATTTTTATTTCCAGTAGCCACTTAACGTTAAATATACAGTAGATTTATATATAGCAAACACTGGTTAAGTGAGCTTTTCAATGTCTGTAGGAATAATTCCTAACATTGATTTTCGTAATAAATCCTTAGAAACAATGTTATTAGATCAATATGTCTTGCGGAATATCATGGTAATCGGTGATTTTCTTTGCACAAATCAAATCAAATCAAAGCAAATCATTTTATTCAGCTAAGTTGACAATACATTGCATTAGCTAAGTCAAACATAAATAATACAGCTTTCCTTCTTCGTTTTAAGCTAATGATAAGATTAACAAATTTAACAACAATATTTAATACTAATTATATATACATCGTCTTACTCAACACACCAGGGTTTACAACAGTCCAATTCCTGTGGTTCAAGAACTCCTGGATGCTAACACGAGATTTTAAGCAAATGTTGTTTTATGCATCGTTTGAATTTTGAGTGGGCTGATTCTAATTTTAAAGAAAGGGGGAGGCTATTATACAAATTAATTCCATTGTAAAGGCAGTGTTTTTTGAAAAAAGATGTAATATGTTTAGGGATTGGTAAATTGTGAGAATTTCGGAGTGAATATGTGTGAATACGGGGGTTTCCTGACTCTGTGAATAGGGAAAGATTTTGTTTGACAAAGATGAGGGTTTCAAGAATGTAGATCTATGGAAGAGTTAGAATTTTAGAATCTGAGAAAACTTTTCTGCGTGATTGGCGTTTGGGCAAGGAAAAAATTGTTCTTA